GTAAAACTATATAATACATAAAATAGAGTAGGCCGAAAAAACATTTTTTTTTAAATCGATTACGAAGACCCCCCAAAAGTTAGCTATGGATCTCAATACATGAGTAAAATTTCATCGAAATTAATTAATATCTTCAGGTTGCCCCTCGACTTTGAAATTAATAAGTTTTTCTTGGATACATGTGTCAAAATTCAAAAAAATATTTGAATTTCATTACAATTTGGCACTACCTGTTTTTTTTTTTGGTCGTTGAACACGAATCCGAAGTCAGAAGTATACATTTCAAAATGACGGATCCATAACATATTCTTATATAAAGAAAATTTGTTATTATTGCGAGATAAATAACGCAAACACATTAATACTGCCATTTTGAAATGTGTACTTCTGACCTCGGATTCGTGTTCAGCAACCAAAAGAAAGGCAGGTAGTATCAAATTATAACGAAATTCAAATATTTTTTCGAATTTTGACACATGTGTCCAAGAAAAACTTACTAATTTTAAAGTCGAGGGGCATTCTGAAGATATTAATTGATTTCGATGAAATTTTACTCATATAATTGAGATCCATAAGCTAACTTTTGGAGGGTATTTCTAATCGATAAAAAAAAAATTTTTTTTCGACCTACTCTATTTTATGTATTATATAGTTTTACCCTGGTTTGATTAGGCTTAACCAGGTCTGATTTGAATTTAATGTATATGCGCTATTTATATCTCGCAATAATAACAAATTTTCTTTATATAAGAATATGTTACGGATCCGCCATTTTGAAATGTGTACTTTTGACCTCGGATTTGTGTTCAGCGACCAAAAGAAAAATAGGTAGCACCAAAGTGTATTGAAATTCAAATATTTTTTCGAATTTTGACACAATATATCCAAGAGATGCGTAAACTTAATAATTTTAAAGTCGAGGAGTAACCTGAAGATATTAATCGATTTCGATGAAATTTTACCGAGATCATGTTGAGGACCATAGCTAACTTTTGGGGAGTATTCCTAATCGACTAAAAAAAAAAATTTTTTCGGCCCATCCTTATATATATATATATATATATATGTTGTAATCACGTTTTGCAACAAGAAAACGCGGACTCGAGAGAGAGATTTGTTGTTAACATTGCATTACATAATTAGCTATCAAATTATAACTTTCTGAAATTCTGTATTTTTTTATTTGAAAGCTAACTGTGTGACAATGTTTCTTGTTATAAAACTTCCGATATATTTTGTATACTTAAAGTTAGATTAACTAAAAAAGTGATTAACATGTGTTCACGACTTTATTTTGATATTTCCTAAGAACTACTTGATATGTGCCAAAAATTATTCTAATAAGTTCCTAAGAAATAATTCAGATAAAATACTGAAAAATTAAAAAATACATATTTATATGTATAAGTTGAATCTTTTTTTTTATATATTTTTAGCATTTTATTTAAGGTTTTATGAATAGGATAAGAACTTCTTAAACTTTTAATATCAAATACGGGTTTTTTTCCACAAATAATTACAGATGTAACTTGATGTAGCAGAATTATAATAGTTTTAGATGTGCTGATCAATGATTCAAAAATCCTAATATGTAAACATAGCATATACATCATAGATATAAAGTATTTTTTGAAAGAAGAAAAAATCTCGTAAGAGGTATTACGTGCAAATTATGTATGAATGTAATAGGTTAATTGAATAATCTTATTTTGTTAACATTAATCAGTAATTTATGATGTCTTAAAATATGACTTTGGTACTTTCAGACGTCTTTTTTACAGAATGTTGCAGATACATGTTAGGCAGTACGACAGGTTGCGCGGCAAACTTTACATGGGCAGGCGCGGTTTTATAGGTAATGGCGATGACTTTATACATTAAAGTTTATACTACAAAGTTTTATTATTTATATTATAAAGTTTATGTTTTAAAGTCACCGTCATCATCTATTGAACCGCGCCTGCCCATGTAAAGTTTGCCTTGCAATCCGTCGTACTGCCTAATATGTATCTGCAACACCCTGTACGTCTTTAAAATGTAAAAATATTGTGTAGGTTAAGGAATAGTCACCACAGCCATATATTGAATCGTGAAGTCGAAAACGAAAAATAATATGTTGATTTTTGTTATGTACCGTTTGTAAATAAAAACAATTTGGATAAAATGATAAGATTGCTTTAAAATATTTATAAAAATGGACGAAAACTATGATATAAATATGCTTATCCTCCTCTGACAGTAAATAATCATATAAAAAATGGTAAAAGGCACATGTTGTAAATGAAAATAGGCTACGCATTGAAAGCATTTTACGTACCTTTTATCATTTTTTATGATTATTTACCGCCAGAGAGAATAAGCCTAGCTTTCGTTCATTTTTACAATTATTTTAAAGTGATCTCATCATTTTATCCAAATTGTCTTATTTTACAAATGGTAATAAAAATTGACTGTGGTGACTATTCAGGATAGTGATTACTGATTATTCAAGAGCCTTAAAAGTAAGAGTACAAATCATTATCAGATTACTGAATCCAAAATCTCATTTAATTCTACACAGTATCTTGTTATTTCAATTATTCTAGAATTGACGATTGTTAATGTCTATTTCAGTTATTTGTTTAAAAAATCGATGATACATTTATTTTCCATTCACGTAAATATAATAATTCAGTTTATTTCGTAAGATTTTCTATCATAATAATATGATTATTTTAGCGTAAAAGTGTATTTTATTTTTATCCACGTAATACGATATAAACATTTGCATAAATGTTGTTTATAAATTTGTATTTGTTCAATATATAAAACTAAAAAATAAAACTATGTCAGTTATATAAGTATAAGTAGGCGCGTTGTTCGATTAAAATGTAAACAATTCTTATTAAATGTCTTATTGTTGTCTAATAAAAGTATGAATACACTTCTAAAATATAGATAATTTATCCCACTGACTTGAACAATTTAATAAAAAAACAACTGGATTAAAAATCAGATTAGAAGAATAAATTAGAAATTCAATTCTTAATTTATTCTGAACAGTAAAAATTGATGCTATGTCTAAATATACAATCGTACATCATGACACAAATTGCAGCGTCAAATTGTGTTTTAATTTCTGTAATTTTTGTAAAAATTTGAATTTAGTGTAATAATACCTCCAAAACGCGTACTTGTTATGATTTTTTTGTTTCGATTATGTACATGAATGTATCTTTTGTTTTCAAGAAGGATGATGTGTTTAGAAGGTTATATAAAATTAGACAAAATCGCATGGGCATAGAATCATGGAACTGGAAGAGTATTTTGCAAGTCTTCAGTTGGATAAACCATTACCCGATGTAAGGGTACGTAACGTTATTAATGGTTTCATTTCCTTCGTTTGTCTTCACTTGCACGCGTGTGTGTAATTTTACCCGACAGCCTGATTTATAATCAGCATTCAAGAACTTTTCTCTGATACTGATGTTGAACAAACATCCATGCGATTCAATTACACGCTTCACCGACCTCATTTAAATAATCCTTACTTAGAATGAAGAACAGTTGCAAAAGCACTCCTTGGATGCTAACTTGGAAAGGAAACCTATAGATAGAGCACTACATATCCTCGTGTAAGTAAATTACGCGCTTTTATTTAAATTCCGATATCTAATAATTATCATTAATGATTCAAATCTCAGTCCTTATTAATTTAAAGATAAAATCTTGATAAGTATTTGCGTAATACATTTTTTAAACTTGGAAGGAAACTTACAGAGCATTTCATATCCTCGTGTAAGTACATTACACACTTTAAATTCTGATATTATTGAATAATTCAATGCTTATATTGTTTTTAAATAATCCTTTTCTAATTCAAAGTTCTTAATTGATATCTACGTGATATATATTTTTAATCGCTATTTCTGCTTACCAATATTTTTCTTACTGTTGCACAAGTGCCGATATATTGAGTATTAAAACTGTTATTAGCTGAAAGTTTCTATGTACGCGAGCTTGCACACGCGAGAGCAGTTTTACCTGCATTGCCTCTACGAATCGACCTGTTAAACCTTGATCGGAAATGCGTAATTTGCTTGCGATTACCGAAACAAGGTCAGCACAGCGTTAATTAAATCTCGCGAACATATAAGCGTGTTTTCAAGGTGGCAGTAGATATTCTTCAATGTAGCTAATGATGTATTTATACGATAATTTACAATTGGACTGACAAGCATTGAATCTCTGTAAATCTGCAAGCAATAATTGAAAGCTTTAGTTTACATTCATGAGCACTTAATCTTATGATATGCCATAATTTTACAAGATTTTTAAAGTCTATTATAAAGATAAAACAATACTATTCATAAAGTGAATGAAGACAAGAATTATAATCGGCAAAGTGCGATTGTTTCACAACAATTCCTATTTAAAATTAGAAATAAGAAAACATATCTAAGCTCTAAAATATCTAAAAAGCAATCCATAAATGCTAACAATTGCTGTGATAAATAAAGAATTGATAAAACGAAACATTAAAAAACAGATACACCTATATGCGTATTTAATAATTACGCAAGTTTTCAAACTGAACGTTTGAACGTTCCTCTCGTAAACAATATAAAACGACTATAGTCGCAACAATCGCAAGAACACGATTGGCGACGATCCTTTCAATGTCACCGCGTCCGGAGTGGATCCCCAGCGTTCGGGGAACACTCGGTCGATTAGTGCGTAGATTCTTTTTCCCGATGTGTCGGGGCCGGCGCATCGGATTGCCGGATGACGCGATCGTTAAATCATCTTTTGTGTCGCGCCAACGGGTTACGCAACAGCGCCCTCGGCGTGTACTAGCCGTGTGCATTCGCGAGATGCGTCACAACGACGTGCGCGCGTCTTCTCGTTCTCGGCAAATCCAGTTGGTACGTGGGCCGCGTTCGTCGCGTTCGTCGCGTATTTGTGCGCGGCGGGCGGCCAGTACTGCCAGCAGTCGTGCCAGTCGTGCTTTGAGTCAGTCCGAGTACCGAGTGTCGAGGTATCTAATTACGGATGGCACGGTCGCGAATCGGATGTGATCGATAGACGCGAAGATCTGATACCCGCCTCGCTCGCTGTTCAGTTGTCATTCACGTTCTCGCGGGTTGCACGTGGCCGCTTTCTCCGCGCGCTCGCGTATTGTGTCATTTGTGTCATGGGAGCGCGTACGCGCGTGCCATTCGCGTGAGAGGTACATACATCCCCGACCCCCAACCGCGATTGATCGATCCTGCCGCTCTCGCTGGCTGCGACGAAGTCGATGAGTAAGATGCGCCTCGAAAATGCTGCAAGAGGGAGATGAAACCCCATACGAGATCGCGTCCGATCCGTGAGTACCCGGACGCGTCTTCTCCGTCGGCATGTCATGTCATGTCATGTCACCTCACCTCACCTCACGTCACGTAGCGTTGCGTCGCGTGAGGTCGATCAAGAGTTCATCCCCTTGCCGGGAATCAAGTTTGTTACCCTTCTCATCCCGCGCGCGCAACTCCTAAAAATAGCCACGCGGTCGTTCAAGGAGCAGCGCACTGTCCTGTCATAGTTAAGTGCGCTAATTATAGTCCTTTAAAGACGACATTACACGCGCGAGGGATGTCAGGATCGCGAAAGGTTCGCGGAACATATTCGAGAGATTAGGTTAACTAAACGCGAATAGTAGATCATTTTTATTTATTACTTATTATGGGTACTTTCCATTTGATGATACAAGTATACAAGTGTCTATTTTTGTTCTGTTATTCTTTGAATATCAAGAAAGATAGAATTTATTCTTGTGTCATTGAAGGTGATTTCCAGCAAGAGACACAGATGATACAGTGTAACAGTCCATTATTAGGTACATCCTTGTTTACCAATTTAAAGATGAAATTATCACTGTCTTACAATGTGTCTCTTGATGGAAAGTATCCAGTATTCCAGTATAAGACAAGTGTGATCATTTCATCTTTAATGTTGGCAAACAACAAGAATGTAATGATTCATTGTATTGCACTGTGTTATCTATTTCTTGCTAAATCACTCTTAGTGACACAAGTATCATTCTTTCGCCATTTGTTGAATGTCAAGAAAGATAGACCGATGTTTGTGTCAACTTATGTTAATAAATGGAAAACATCTGCTATGAGGTGCTTCCCATTTGTAGTATTTCCTAGCAAGATACACAGTGTAAGATAAAGATTTAAATGGATAAACTACAAGAATGTAATGATTCACTGTATTACACTGTGTAATCTATTAGTAAATTCGGTCACTTGCGTTACACCAGATTAATGCATATTAAAAGCAGATATACATGAAATTAACAAAGTTAAATATAAGAACAAATATTTTAATCAATTAATTACCTAATAATGGCATTGTTATGTTAGTTAACAAAATGTACATGTATTATTTATTTCATTGTCAATGTTGATTATATTGTGCCAATGCATTGAGTTACTATACATAAAGTAGTCTTCAATGTGTACTAATTTAGTGTAGTGCAAGTGACCAAATTCACCATGTCTTCTGCTAAGAAGCACCATAAATTGAGAATGATACTATGATAGTATGTTTTCCATTTAGTGATACAAGTCGACACAAACATCAGTCTATCTTTTTTGACATTTAATAAACAACAAATAATGATACTTGTGTGTCATCAAATGGAAAGCACCAAGTATCTTGGCAAATGTATTATATACAGTATAGCGAAAGTCAGGCCTAATGGACAGTTTTTTTTACATATGATTCATTAAATGTTGGAGTTACTTGACCCAAGTATTACTGCATCATCTCCTTGATCGACCATTACCAATTCTCAATGCTTTCAGTTTCTCTGAAACAAATATATAATTTACCAAACATCTGTTTTTTAAACAATTGGAGACCTGTCAGAATGCTTAGAATTAAACTTGTAAACAATCTATTATTATCTTCTAATATGTATTTTTTGTTTTTAAATGATAGAAGATATAGTTAAGAATAACAGATTTATTAATGATGTAAATTATCAGCAATATATATTTAAATAATTTTGTATATCCTCTTACAAGTCAAAAGTGCAAAGACTAGGGACGATAATTTTTTTCGTCATATATGTTATTTCTTAAGAAGATGTTGGTATTTTTTCAGGAAGGGAGATGAGATTCAGAAACTTAGTGTTATACAAAATCTACCAAGTCTTTTAGCTACTGATACACAATCATGTATGTCTCGAGTGGTACCTAAGATGCAGCAGTCTCTGGCTACTGCATCAACCGAGTTTCACATAGCAGCATCATCCACATTCAAAACAATTTTAGAGCAGAAGCTTGTCAGCCATAATGTTTTTAGTCAGACATTCCTTCAAAGCATATTAAATTCTTTAGAGAGTCGTGATCCAGGTAAATATATTTATTAATTAAAATAATTATTACTTTAGAAAATACAATATTTTATAATTGAAATTTAAATATTTTTGTATACTGTGTCGCTATAATTGCCTCTAACTTCCATTATATGTGTTAATGTTAAAGTTATCTGTCATGCATGGTTGGAGACCTTGCTAGATGTGATAGAATTACTGCCGGTAGAAGTCATAAGAACACAGGTTTGTACAGGCAATTAAAAAAATTGATATGTTTGATATTTTATTTAAACAGATGAAAAAAAGGAAATTCTTAAAATTATTTATTATACATCAACAAAAATTAAATTCAGAAAGAAATTAATATATAAATAAATTACAATCATGCGCATCAGCTAATAAAATTTTAAAAAATATATTTATGCTATAAATCAATGTTGAGATATTAAATTGCTGTAAATGTAACAACATAGCACTGCATAGCACTTTTGGATGGATGGTAACAAGAACACTCTCACATACAGATTCTTCCATTGACTATAAGTAAAGGACAATTGTCACAACCTATCTACTCCAGGATAACGTGCAGCAGGTTATTGGGAAAGATTTGTACAAGATTTGATTCTGCAATGTGAGTATATTCAAATATACTTTTATTTCATGGTTCTTATACGCAGTAAAATTTTAATGTATGATAATTTATTAAAAGTTTATTCAGCAACATTTAGCAGTACTAAATTAGATCATATTGGCCAAACAATTACCTATTATTATATCTTTGTGATACAAAAGGAATATTAAAACTTCTACATAAAATATTTAAATAATTTTTAATTCATTATTTACAAGTTCTAAATAAATAACTATTATGAAAATTTTAGGATACAGAAGGAAGTTCTACCAACAGTGCACTCCCTTTGTCAGGATGTAAACAGTGAAGTACGAGCTAGTATTTGTTTGCAACTGCGTTTTGTTGCAGAAGGTCTCGGTGCTGAATCTGTAAAACCTGCTTTGCTACCATCTCTTGTAGAATTGGCAAGTGACGAAGAAAGCAGTGTAAGATACGCCTCTGTACAGACAATAGTCTATTTACTACCTCATCTTCAGGAAGGTAAGCAATTGTATATTTTAGAAATATTTTTTAGGTATTAATAAAAAGAACAAAAATTACATAGATACAGTAATATAAATTAAACAGATACAAATTAAGCAGTAAAAATTAATTTAAACAAATTGTCTACAGATACAATAAAAAATATAATAGCCCCACTTGTTAAGAAGCTATGTGAAAATGCAACTAAATCGAATGATAATGTGATATGTGTAATAGCACAAGAAATGGGAAAACTTGTACTTGGCCTAGAAAGTAAGAAACAATTCTTTGCATTTATATTGACAGCAGTACGATCTTAAATAATGTTTAAATGACAAAAATGTATATGTATTATTTCAGAATGTTTATCAATGTTAGAAAAAACATGGTTTATAAAATACTTTCAACAACTCGCACAATTGGGAATACCATCATTGAAGAAAGAGAAATCACATTTTACATTCGTAAGTACATATTATAAGCTTGTTATATAAACTAAGTATGGATACATACGCATTAAATAATTTTTCTATAGATTCTTGTAGTATATTTAATGTATAGTATTTATTATATGTATTGAAAATAATTTATAAATTTAATATTAATACAATATTTTGTGTTTTAGATTAGCAGCAATCCTACACAGGATGAACGATATGTTGAATGTAGAAGGCATTGTGCATTTAATTTGCCAGCAATGTTCATTTTCGTATCGAGCTCTCCAGAAGATATAAATGCGATACTTACAACATTTAATGCATTAGCAAGTGATCATTATTTTATGGTTCGGAAAACAGTTGCGTGTGGGATTCATGAAGTAAGATTTTTAATATTACACTTATTGAATATTATACTTATTAAATTTTAGTTACATTTGTATATATAATAAAACATTATTTGTAGGTGGCAAAGGTTCTAGGGCCAAAAAGCGTACGGATAAAGGGAAATTTAATAAAATTGCTAAAAGATGATTTCGAGGAAGTGCTTCAAGGTTTAATTCCTCATATAGGATTAACGCTAGAATGTTTAGTTGAAAGTCAAACTATTGGAACAGATAAAATGGTAATTTAATTTTGTCATGTATACTTTGTAATTCAGAACCATGTTCTTAAGATTATATTATTCATTATAGGATTCTTCTTTGATGGAAATAGGTAAAGCATTATTAAAGTGTGAAGCTGAAGTTACAGGCACACACAATTGGAGACTAGCATCATTAATGCATACGCAGCTAGAAATTTTACCTAAATGTTTTCCCAGTGATTTTATATACTCATATTTTATTCCAATGGCTTTCTCCAGAATTTTACATGCAGTAAGTCTAAAATATTCTATTCTCTTTTGAAGTACGATTTACAGTTTTATATTGTATTTACGTGTGGATTTAATTCTACAATTTTAGCGACCAATACCAGTACGTCTTGCCGCAGGAACACTTTTTCTTCTCCTTCTACGATATAATATGAAACCTATACAAAGAGCAGAACTGCGTAGTAGAATCTTTACAGATTTAGCTAATAATTCTGACTGTTACGTGAGAATGATGTTCGTTCGTATGATGGTCGAAGCATTGGAAATCTTTTCTTCTACATATTTTAAGGAGCATTTTTTCAATGTTTTATTGAATCTGGCTGAAGATCCGGTAGCTAATATAAGAATGAAAGTAGTATCCTTATTGCCACAGTTAAAAAATCAATTGTGGATGCCAACCGATAAGAAATTGTTAACATCATTGGAGACGGTTGTGAGACATTTGGTAAACAATGAAAAGGATAGAGACGTACTATTTATTTTAAAAAGTGTTATACAGAAGTTGGATGAAATGGATGTCAAATACGAAGGTCAAAGTGTAAGTAATTTAAGAATATCTAAATTATATGAAAAATATGTTTCTCTGAATACTGTTTTTTGTGTAGTCAACAACGAAACTTATTAGACAAGATGTGGAAGATGCCAAAAAGTTGGAAGAAGAAAAAAAGTTGTCGGGCATAGGTGCAGGAAAATCAACTGGCGGAACTGCAGTAAAGAAAGGTATTGTTAAATATATCTATATCTATATGTATATTGTCAGTGATGTATGTCGTTTTTATATGTTAAACATTATTATCGAGCAAAAACATTTATTTGTATAGATAATATATATACGACTACAGGAAGAGTCTTAACTAATTACGAAATTTGGTTATATTTAATATAAAATATATGTTTTAATCATAGAATGTATTTTATTTGATTATATACAATTTGTTCGTTATTTAATTGCAATAAGTAGTCAGAACTTTTTAACTTTTATGTTTTTAAGAATTTTTAATTATTAAAAAGAAATTAATATTAGCTAAGAATTTAAATAAATAATATTTGTTTAGGTTGGACAAGAGCAGGAACTGATAGTTCTACAAGAGGATCGTAAGTTTAATTTAAATTATATATTTCAGTTTATTAAATAAAATATAAATTGTTAAATTATTATTGTTGTTATCTTCTATTAAACCTACATAAATTTATGTTTCAGATCACAGTCTAAAGGTGAGCACTTAATGAAGAATACGGAAGAATTATATGAAACAAAATCGTTACTAATTAAATGTAAGCAACTCATATTATTTAATGATAACAGAAGTTAAGAAGCAGAAATTCTTATCCAAGTAATCCTGTCGTCTGTCTCTTGCAAGTCCAAGCCATTTTTCAAAGTACAAATTTTTAATTTGTGTTAGCGATTGAAGAGTGTGATTAATCGGATTTTAATAAATGCTAATCAAAATTAGTTGCAAAAAAGCTGAATAAGACAATTATGTCAACAATATAATAAAGATATTAATAAACTTTTAATTATCTGAACTGAAATATGATGTTTTGCAGATGGAATTCCATCCTCGCGTCAAGTAATTGAAAGCTTAAAAACGAGGTAAGGAGAATTTGGTAAAGAAATATAATTCAGAAGGATATAAAACTAATGCATGTTTAAAAATAACATAATTAGTTTTATAAGCTTAAATTAAAATTTTGGGAATTAATGAATATTATGGATAATTATATAAATATACTTGGTTATATTATTTGTTATTTAAAGATTTTTTTACTAATATGTGCTAAAATACGAATTAATGTTTTGTTAACCAATCTAATTATATTTGCTTTGTATCTAACAGAATTCAACTAACACATCCATGGGAAAAAATAGGGCATTTCAACTCACATACTAATTCATCGCATTTTAACTTTGTGAATGGATCATCTAATGATTATATTACGCCTAAACCACAATGTAACTGCTCCAAGTTAACAGTATTCCAGGCTCTCTTGACATTGCCGGATGCTTGTGAACAAGAATACGAAAGTGACTCTCAATGCCGTTCGTATTACGATACTGACAACGATCACACAAACTTTAGAAAGCATTCAGTCCAAACAAACGAATATAGTCCTTCCACCTTTACAAAATCTTTTTTTCTGTCGCTTGTAAGAGATAATAAACAAGAGCCGCAGCAGCATTCTCTACTAACACGGGATTATTCGCATGAATTTTCTACTAACATCAGTGGCAATGATAGAGCACCGAACTTTGCCGCTTTAAAAGCATTAACAAACGCAGCTCACTTTAATTCCTGTTGGGCTTTTAGTTCCATGCCAGAAATATCCATGATGCAGTCAGACGATGAATTCTTGGTAGACACGGGTATCAGGATACCCACTCAATTCTCCATTTCTCAAAGTACATCAAAAATTCCTCATTTGCAAGATTTTATCGCTACAAGGAGGCAATTAAATACTACTATTCGGCCTAGACGAAGCAGTATGAATTTCGATAAAGGAAAGTTTAAGAGACATTCCTCCGTTGAATACGAAGATTGCATGAAACGTAGGACAAGTGAGAGTGAATCATCGAGAAGTACATCGATTTCAATAGACTACGAAGAGGGCTTGCGACAACATAACATGGTGAAGGAGAATTTGAGCGATCAACACTTGTCTAAGACAGATGCTAGGACTAAAAGATATTCCGCCCCACAGGGAAGAACTAGATTTGGGTGGGATGCTAACCAAGAGCGATCTTTAGACGAGAAATTTAAAAGAAATTCTTTGATACTGGATAAAGAAAAGTTAAAATTTACTAACTCTAAATGCACTTTGGATCGAACCAAACGGCATTCCACTAATTTCAGTTTAAAGTTCCCTGATACTAAAGAAACGAAGCAGCTTGTAAAACGTCATAGTCTAGAGGATCATACCACGGTACGTCGTGCTGTAAAAGGATATTTTTCAACTTTGGACGTGAATCATAATCAGGGTCTTAGTAAAATTCCCTTGAGAAATGTTGAATCTCGTAGCAGGACCGCACCTGCCACCAGAGCATCTAGCCCTGTACATGTAGAAACACGATTGAGATTTGACATTGAGAATTGTGATGATTCTCAAAGTTCTGCTAATGACAGACATTTGAATAGGTTTAGCTCGAGTGATGAAGAGGTCGACAAATTATGTAGAATGCTATTACATTCTCAAACGGCACAGAGTAGTACAGGAATAACACCAAGAAGTAGTAGGGAGAGATATCCTGTTCACCTGTTGATGAAAAAGCTATGAAATGTATAATTCTGTTACACAATTTTTATGACTCTTCCGCAACTATTTTAATATTTAGTGATCATATAATGAGCTTTCTATACAGCTTTACATTTAATTAAAAGGTTTAAATATGAAGTTTACCGAGATCTAATTCAAAATTATACGTAACAGTTTTTTTAGTTTCTTTGTTTAAACTAAGCTTATGATTCAATATGAATCTGATTAGTAAAATTTTATTTTGCGTAAATAAATCCATTATATAGCATTGCAATCAAATATATAATGTTCTTACAATATTCAATATTGATAACATAATGAAGTCTCAATATCTATTTCATTTGTTTTTAAACTACATACGATATATACTGTTAATGTTTTAGTTAAATTTAAAATCATAAATATTTTAAGATTGTTAATAATTTGTTGAGGGGTAGAACATTCTTAAGAATCAAACCTTTAAATAAAATTATCTAAAGAATTTGGAATAAGAATTGTTTTGAGATAATTTATACAATTTTTAATTGCATACTGGTACTAATGAAATTAAGTTTTACATGTATAGCGGCCTTAACGTGAATTAGCATATTTATTTTTAACTTCAATTTTTGCTTTTGATGTATATATAAATAGGCTATATTTATATATTTTTTTGAGCATACAATTTTTTTACATTGTGCCTTTTCTATATAATAGTTTGTATTTTTTATCTAATCTAATGCAAATATTCATAAATTTTTGTTTCATTAAATGGAAATAATCAAGTTTTTTAAATGCAGTTGATGATACTTAGAAATATTTTAAGAATTAAAGTCTACATTTTATCTAATTTTTAACTCAAAATTAGATGTAATTACTTACACAAGCAGTATTGCGAAGTATTGATTGAAGCAACAAGAGATGCATTTTATTTCATTAGAATATTCATGTCTCGTGTAATATTAATGCCTGTGAAATGGCCCTTTGTACTTATATGCGAAAAGATAATTACGTTAATTTTAGTTAATTTTATTATCTGTTAAATCAAATTGTACTTTGAAAAAATATCTTTGTACCTCAAAGGAAGTCTCTGCATTCTGACTTTATATTGAAGATAAAAACATGCACGCTTATTTCAAAAGACTGCTTTTTAGATTCTGCGATTAAAAATTATATAAAATAAAAAAAGAGAGGAAGCTTTTATTTCACTCAAAAACTGCGTATTCAGTAACGTTGACCTCCATCGCGATAAGGCTATAAATTTTAATTGTTAATATTAAAAACGGTTGTTGTGGAACTGGATTATTCTAGAGCTTAAGATAAAATATTATACTAAATGAAAACAGATTTTCAGTACTCTAAAAGCTAGCCTTAGAGTCTAGTCTGCATAAATATAGTCCACGAAAAGTCTGGAAAGATAGTCATGATTTGAAAAGAGCATATTCGTTTTGTTCTTTATAATCTGTAGTTTTTATGTTCGCCTTAGTATAGTTATTATTTTTAGCGATTATTTAATATTAATCGTTTACGTAATTATTTACACGTAAGGTTGACCAAAGAGGATAAGACAGTGGTATGACGTATTAACAAAAAAGAAATTATCTCTGTACAAATCACGATGACGTGTTAATATTTAAGAAAAAAAGTTTAATATCAATACATTAAATTATATTAGCTAGAAAAAATGGAAGTAAGAGTAAGATATTAATAATTTACACATTGAAAATAATGAATTGTTTAAATTCAGTTTGATTCTATTTGTACAAACTTCAAGTCATGACTATATTTTCCAAGAGTACATACATGCGTACGTACATACGTGCGTACTTAGAGTATTCCATTAAAAGTAAATAATTTTTAAGTAATGCAAAAAAATGCTATTCTGTTTTTTTTAATTATGATTTGCAAGGATCTTCTTAAGAACACAAAAAGGATACGCATTAATAAAACATGTATTCTTATTATATTATATTAATATCATCTTCGAGTGTAATTTTTTTGCGTAAACGTTTTCTGTGCATACATATTTGAACACAAGTCATTAATTTTGATGAAGATAGGTAAATTATATATTTTTATTCCTTGTTTTGCGTTTTTTAAGAAAGGTTCTTAGTCATAAATTTAAGAGGATAAAAAATGTATTTACATTTTTAATAATTTACTTTCATTTGTGCGAATTATGAAAATTTATGTTTTTATTATAATTTCTTGCAAAAAGGATGTATATATATGTAAATTTAATACAGCATTTTAAAATTAAAAAAATTTTTCTTAGCTATTACTGTGTTGCCAGTTTTATTTATTTAAATAATTTTAATTTTTGTAAAAATATATTTATATATTATATATAATAATATAAAGTAGTTCCAATGATAAATTAATAAGAAAATTTAGTTTACAGGAAACAATCTCTCGATATTGAATTTTAATATATTTTAATTACGGTTTCCAGGTATATTTGATCAAGAAAATATATGAAATATTTTTTTAGACAGAAAGAGGGACAGAGAGAGAGAGAGAGAGAGAGAGAGAGAGAGAGAGAGAGAGAGAGAGAGAG